AGAGAGAGTGCGAGAGAGAATGAGAAAGAGTGAGAGATAGTGCGAGAGAGAGTGAGAAAGAGTGCAAGAGAAAGTGAGAGAGAGTATAAGAAAGAGTGAGAGAGAGTAGGATAGAAAATGAGAAAGAGTGAGAGAGAGTGAGAGACACTGTTATAGAGTGCGGGAGAAAGTAAGAGAGAGTGAGAAAGAGTGCGAGTGAGATTGCGAGAGAGAATAAGAGAGAGAGTAAGAGAGATTGAGAAAGAGTGCGAGTGAGATTGCGAGAGAGAAAGAGAGAGAGAAAGAGAGTAAGAGTATGAAAAAGAGAAAAAGTAAGAAAGAGAGAAAAACAAAGTGTGATAAAAGAGTAAAAGAGAGAATAAAAGATTGCGAAAGAGAATGTGAAAACGACGGCGAAAAAAGTAAAAAAAATATTGAGTTTAATCTTTAATGTTTGTCTTTTATAAAATAAGACATAAGAGAAAAAAAGTAAAGTTTATTTTTTTAATATATACGTGAAAGATATGCTACAAAAAGAGAAGTGATATCCGAAAAAAACTTACTTTTTTTTAAAAAGGTAAAAAAGTGCGCCAAGTACACGCACAACACGTAATACTTTAAATTAAAATTCTAAACTCAAATTAATATTTATTAAAAATTGTATTTTATTTTTTATATAAAACATTCTTTTTCTACAAAATCTACGTTTTAAAAGGAGTGATATGAAAAAGTAGCATCAAGTACATTTGTGTACATTTAAAGAAAGTATTAAAAACGTTCTCCGGAATACAAGCCATTCTGATAAATATACAATTCTCTTTTTTATCTTTGTAAACTGATAGTTAGACGCGAACGACGAGCTCTTAAATACTACTGTCTCACCGTTTCTTTCAATTGATGAAAGAATAGCTTCTTCTCCAATAAAATTGATTAATTAGCAAAAAACGAATGTTGCATACTGACACGGAAGTGATATTATTACGCATAGTAATTTTATATTGTGATTTTATATTTTTGAATTACACTTGTTTTTTTGGTGCATCATCGCGTTGCATATGTCCGCACAATTCTTTGTTATCTCATAGCACATTACTGTTTAGTGTATCATCGCGTTGCATGTGTCAGCACGAGTCTTTTTTTTCTCATAGCACAGTATTGTTAGAACAAGACTTAAAAGAAGAAATTTCTCATTTATCTAATATATGTAATAAGTAGTTATACTAAGCGGATTCTGGACCACTTTTCCAGAAGAAAAAGCGATTTTTCCATAAGAGAGACAAAGTCTGTTCTTGTCTAACTAACGGTACTTGAAACCGAGGGCAAGAGAGGAAGGATGGGGCACCGCGCAAGGGAGGGGTCATTGGAACCATATTCGTAATATTGAAAGCAGAATCGGAGGACCTGGGCGTTGCGGATGAGATAACGTAGGAGTGTGGGTGACGTCGGCGGAACGTTGGTATCAGCTCTACCGGAATTAGCTAATTAGTGACGAACCGTAAAAATGGAGCATGCATTATTCGACGTGTTTTATTTATTTCAGGTAAGTGAGCATTATTGTTGACGTCATCGGTCGTAACGTGTTCGAACTTGTCGTACATGTTCAAGGTTGTTTGGAGCGGGCGTGGACGCGTGTGAGCATGTTTGAACGTGTTCAAGGTTGTTGCGGATGATGACGTCATCGCTAAAAATAAAACTCGGACAGGTCCGAACGTGTTCAAGGTCGTTTGGATGATGTTGTTATCGCTAAAATAATATTACTTCTCAATTAGATATTTAACTGCGCAGTAAAATAATTAATTCCGAGAAAAAACGCAATTTCCCGGAAGCGGTGCGCGTTTAAAAATAAATAGCGCGCAGTTTGTAACTGCGCAGTACAATAATAATTAATTAATTCCAAGAAAAACCAAACTTTCTTGGAAGTGCGTCTTTTCTTATCGCCAAAGCAATGAGTCACTTCCGGTTTGATGAGTCATTTCCTGCGATAACATTTGTACAAAAAACCGTTTCATACCGGATGTAATTTTTCTACGTACTTCCGGTGCGCGCGTAAAAAACCGTTACCTACAGGATGTGGTTTTTTTAAATTGCAATTTCAAATCTAAAGATTTCAAAGAAAGATAAAGAGCGAAATAAAAAAGCACCTCGAGTTTTGGAGCGAGTCACAAGTTATTTTGATCGCGAGCAATCGAGATCGCAAGTCGTAGAGATTGCAATCCGTATAGATAACAAGTCGTCGTTGTCGTTTTTGAAATGTTTAACGGAGTGGACACGACGTGCATTTTACACCTGTCGGTCAAAGAGTTGTAAAACGTTCCAAAGAGGATTCTTCTAGAAGTGATCAATAATTATGTGGAACTTTTGTGGAACCGATTGTCTGAGCATTTGAAAAAAGATACCGAGGTGCAGCTGTATCGCAGATGTCTCGAGCATTACAATCAACCGGAAGACTACGATCACATTAATGGACCAGCCCCATTGAAAAGATATTGTCGCGCGTGTATTGCGAAAGCCAAAATGCAAAATTAACAATGCATCGGATCAGACATCGGAAATTGTAAACATAAACAATCGCGAACCGCTTGAAGAAGAGACCGCGCTCCTCAACACGTTGAATGGTTACATCTCGTGGGAGGAACGGTGCGACGATCGTCTAGAGACGCTGAGAGAAGAGTGCCGAACAAAACGCCCGCGACTATACAGGGTGTCCATAAAGTCTGGAAACACCTTTATATTTTGGAAACGGTTCAAAATTATGAAAAATCGCGAAATACGTATTTAATCGTTTTGAGAGGCTATTCTTTTAAGGGGGTTGCGGATGTTTCCACCTCTTAGGAGGACCTTCCAAAGGGCCCCCCTCAAAATTTTTAAATAGAACCCCGCATATTGTAGTATATCAATTGAAAGGGTATAAAAAAAGAAATCTTTTGGTTCAAATCAGAAGTTGATACAGTGAGCCGTTTAGGAGTTACTTACAAGCAAAGTTC